ATTGTTATGGAAAGTTTTGAATAAGTTAAAATACGTTATAGAATCAAATTAAGTGCAGTAAATATTACAATTCTGTCTTAAAGTAATGATTTAATAAAATAAAATACCTTTGTCTGGCAATGTTCGAGCATTTCATGCACGTCCCTTAGTCTTTCTTCGCTTTGGTACTGAACTTTCTCTTCCATGTCCGCCATGGCCTGTTTTAGATTTTCCACTTCGTTCTGGTGCAGCTCTGTTAAATCGTTGATCTGCTCTTCTAACCGATCCGTTTTAAACCGCTCTTCCTTTAAAATGAACAAAAAAAAAACAGTTAATACCTAATGAAATTTTATGAGCTTCCTCTTTAAATTTTGAACTAGGAATTTTTTTTCAATATCTCATTTTCTATTATAAGACGAAACGACAACAATACTTTTAAGTGTATATGTTGTAGTTACGTATACATTCATACTTATGCATATTTGTATTCACAAGAACCGCTTTTAAATTCAAACAGCTTAACAATCTTTGAAGATTTGCCTTAAAAATTTAGGTGCTTATGTGTTCAGGCATTGTGGAAGTAAGCTACTACTTATATAACATTACAAGTACTTAAGTAAATTTAAGTAATTGTTATATTAACCCTACAAATACGATAGTGAATAAAATAAAATAATACGATTTTGTCACAAGCTCCCGATCTTCCTTAGCAAGGAGATCCTACACAGATTATAAGTAAGGGTCCTCTAAAAAGACAATCCCACCATTGTGGCGCTCCTAAGAAATGCATGACTTTGCCCCCACCTCTTAAGGTTGACACTGATCTTACTATAGATCTTTTAATAATAAAATTTTATATAAGTAGAATTATTTTTATTTAACTTATAACGGGATGTATGCAGTTATTATTAAGTTGATTCGTATTATATTTACCTGTAACGACGCGTTCAAATATTGTATTTCCTGTTGAAGAGACTTGCTCGTTTCCGCTTTTTCCCGTAATCTTTCCACCTCTTCCTGAAGGGACTGAATTTGAGCAAATATCGCTTTGTAACTAAACGTTGTTGCTCCCTTTGATCCACTGTCTTGAGCTCTGCTATGATACCTGAAAAATTTTATATTTTTCAATTTGTTTCTTAGACACACTATATGACTTACACTGTCTTTAAAAAACCTAACTGCTTCCTAATAAATTAAATAATTAATAGTTGAAAATAGTTTCAAGAAATATTATACATCTTTCTCACCATTTTCCTTTCGATGAAAGTATAGCAACCGAATATATAGATTTATTTTTCACGTACCTGTCTAAACTTTCACTAGTGACGCTACTGCATTCGCTACCCTCATCGCTGGGGAATTTGTTAGGTGCAGGAGTGTTGGTATGACTTGTAGTGGTTACGTGTAGATTGGCGGGAAGGGTTGAGGATCCATGATGTGGAGCTTTGGAGTCTGCGCCTGCATCACTGCCCCCACCACCTCCGCCGCTCCCACCTCCCTCTGTCGTAGCTCCACTGTCGGAACCAGTTGCACCAGGCCCTATGTACCATGCTACGAATTATAACCACGGGGTTACAGGTAAGGTGCAGTAGCCATGCGAAGTAAACTGGTAGTGCAGATGTTAGGCGTAAAAGCGATAATCAAAAGACACCATATTACTTTATTAACGGTACACATAGAGAAAAACAGTTTGTTGCGGTAAGAAGCTATACTCAGATTGTAAACATTAAATTGACAAATTCAAAAGTGTAAAAAGAGCTAGTAACTTATAATAAACAATGACACCGTAAGTAGATTTTCAAAAAACAAAATTCCTATTTTATATTATTGGTTTTTATCATTACTGTTTGTCTTATCAATAACATATTTAATAATCTATTCAATCATAAAGTTAAAAAAAATTAGTGCACACGGATGAAGTCGTGCTCGATGTAGGGGAAATAAAAAAGAAAAGATGGCAACACTGACCGATACCTATGGTGGAATAACACCCTTATACCGAATCTACCTATGACGCATAAAGAATAATTCACTTCGAGAAGGAAAAACTGCCCAACGTACAGTTGTATTAAAAACACATTATTTGATGCAATATCTTTTATGTCAATTTTTTGGCCGAACTTATAAATCTGAATATAGCTCACCTGAAAAGACCATATTGTGTAGGTACTTGGTTACGGTGTTAAAAAAACACGTTCTAAAAACCTTAAGTGTAATTCTAATAAGACATGCAAAAATAAAAGCAAACAGACTACTACTTTCAAAGAGTAGCCATGCTTTTGTGCTGTTGTACCAAACTGGGCAAACCAAGTATATACATTGGGAGAAAAAACAATTTCTTCAAGGCCTCTCGTTAGTTTAAAATAGACAACCAAATAATTTTTAACAACAAAAAAAATTGGCACAACAGGAAAATTCCAAGAATAAAGTAGTAGTTAAAAAAGAGATAGAAATTAAACTTTGACCAACAATTTCCGCTACGTTAACAGCTAACTATTCTATTCCTACACCTAATTATAGTTTATTCTACGAGAAAAATGAAAAAAGAAATAATNCCTCTCGTTAGTTTAAAATAGACAACCAAATAATTTTTAACAACAAAAAAATTGGTTCATCTCCCATTTGCTAATATTTTAGTAAAAAACTTGTAAGTCAACAAAAACCCCACACCATTTTTACCTTCCACTGCAATTGGCACAACAGGAAAATTCCAAGAATAAAGTAGTAGTTAAAAAAGAGATAGAAATTAAACTTTGACCAACAATTTCCGCTACGTTAACAGCTAACTATTCTATTCCTACACCTAATTATAGTTTATTCTACGAGAAAAATGAAAAAAGAAATAATACATTTCATTAAAAGTTTAAGCCCAATCAATTTGCATTACATCGTGTTACTAGATTACGTAAAACAATTATTTCTTTACAGTATGTGTTTTTTTTTATTAGTAAATAACTAATGTATCTTAAATAGGTGCAGACAGCGTATGAACGCCATCTGTAAACAACTGTTTCCTATTTAGTACAGTAAATGAAGGTAAAAATTAACTATTACCTCCGATTTCGGTGAACCTCCATCGATTTGCATGAAAATTTGGGATTCAGTATATTTTGTCCTTTACTTCAAAAGTGACATATGCTCGACTTGCGCTTTTTGCATTTTAAGGGTGAAATCCACCCCTTTTGTTAAAAGTAGGGAAAAATGCAGATTTAAGCATTCTGGAGTAAGTAATCTCGTTTAATTAGATAAAATAAATATTTTTCAACGCTTATATGCACGGTTTATGATTTTAGTTAACTTTTCAACCCTTCTAGCAAGCACCCCTTAAATCGAAAATCACGGAAAAATCATTTTTTCATCATGTATGTTTTGTGAGCATGTACCTATCGACACGTCTACTTTTTACTATCTATCTTTTCTCCTAATATACCTACAAAATCTCTATCCCCAAAAAGTTTTCAAAAAAAAAGTTTTTACAAAAACTCAATTAATTTTTATGATATCAGGTTCATCTAAAAACCATTTGAAAGGTAATTTCAAGAGCTATAAGTCCGTATTAAATTTAATCGTTTAAAACCCTTATTTTTTAAAAGATAAAAGGTTAAAGGGCCCCTGTTACATGGTTCTCGAAGTAAAATGCAGGGTTTAAACGTTTCTATCTCGGTTATTATTTATCCCACAAAAATAAAAAAAAAATTAGAACCTTTCTTAAAAAACAAACTCAAATTTCGTTCTCGAGTTATCGAGTATTTTTGGAGTTATTATCAAAAGAAAATGAAATTTACGAAAATTAGGAAAATGCTTAATTTTGATGGTATCAACTTCTTCTGCATCTCATTTGATAGGTATTTCTGTGCACTTTGAAAAGTGTTTAGTAAGTATATTTTATAAAATGCATCGTTTTCCCGTTATTTAAGCTTGAATACTTAGATTTGAGTACTCGCCGAAAAAAGTATACATTCAATTACCTATAGCTCACTTTGAATTAATATTAAAAGGTTTTTTAAGGAAGAAGTTTTTTTGTTTTTTTATTAGCTTCAATTTTGGTAATGACAACTTTTTTGTAAAACCTTATAGTTTTTGAGTTATTTATGAAAAACCGCTTTAAAACATGCATTTTTTTCACGAAAAATCAAAATCTTTGATCTTTAATAACTCAAAAAGTATTGATTTATTTTAATAACTGTATATGACAAATTTTGCTTAAAATTGGTCTATCGATTTCTGGGGTTATTTTTCATAAAATAATTTGCACACCCAAGAAGGGATGGCATCCACCCCCAGGGTAAAAGCGCAAGTTGGCACTATGTCACTTTTGTTTCTTGAGGTATCCTCTAACTACTCACCAGTTTTCATGAAAATCGATGATTATTTATATGAAAAGATGGCCTAAGATATTTACACGAATTTTCCAATAGAACCTCTAGTACAGTGAATGAAGGTAAAAATTAACTATTACCTCCGATTTCGGTGAACCTCCATCGATTTGCATGAAAATTTGGGATAGAGTTTATTTTACCCTTAACTTCAAAAGTGACATATGCTCGACTTGCGCTTTTTGCATTTTAGGGGTGAAATCCACCCCTTTTGTTAAAAATGGGGAAAATGCAGATTTAAGCATTCTGGAGTAAGTAATCTCGTTTAATTAGATAAAATAAATATTTTTCAACACTTGTTTTTTCAAAAATATGCATTCTAAATCGGTCAAAATTTTACTTATGATTACTAAATAAATAAAATAAAGAATGTCTTATAGGGATTACTATAAATTTTAATTTTTGTGGAAATGGCGTAGGTTTCATTTTTCCCTTTTTCCTAAAAAATTCGAAAGGTTCGTCTTATTTTCATCATAACTTGCTTAATTTTGATGGTATCAACTTCTTCTGCAGCTCATTTGATAGGTATTTCTAAGTACTTTGAAAAGTGTTTAGTAAGTATATTTTATAAAATGCATCGTTTTCCCGTTATTTAAGCTTGAATACCTAGATTTGAGTACTCGCCGAAAAAAGTATACATTCAATTACTTATAGCTCACTTCNGAGCGGAATAAAAATTACAAATTCTTTACTTATCAAACATAAATCCTGCGAATAAGGAGATCTCACTGATTGCGGGTTTGGTTTGAGATTGTTATGGAAAGTTTTGAATAAGTTAAAATACGTTATAGAATCAAATTAAGTGCAGTAAATATATTCGTTAAGCATTTTTTTTTAAAGAGCATATCTGAATTTGAAAAATACATTATAAAAAAGAATGTTTTTTCAAATATCCAAAAAATTAATATGTCCAATATTGCAACAAATTGTTAACCAGCAACATTTGTTCCATTATTTTAAATTTTAAAATACAGTTCAAATACAATGAATACAAATTTTCTATTTTCTGAACTAATTTTTATATTGAGCCCAATGTTTTCCAACATTCAAATCATCATAAATGTTAACAGACCATTGCTGCCGAACACTTTCTACTATAAAAAAAAGATATCACGTAAAAACTTTAATGTATGATAAATAACTACTTATTTGATAATTACTATCGGGACATTGTCGGTCTTAAATTATAGTAATTAATATAAGAGGCCAGCCAATAAATAATTGATTTATTCTTCAATTTAATGTATTGCTTCTCTATAATTAGGTAATGTATAGTTTACGTCGTCTAGTGATGCATTTAAATATACAGGGTAAGCAAAAAGCGGAAAATAATTACTTACTACTTCCTCAATAATTGAATTTTCTAATAACAAATTTCCATGGCAAAATTAAAAATATTCTATTTAGATACATTAATAACTATTATTTCAAATTTCTTACTTACCCCGTTCTTAAAAAAAAACATAAATTTGCAAAAATATATAACACTTGCTCTATTATATTACAACTGTGGGAGAAAACTAACGGCCATATAATTAAGTAGCAGCAGTTTTGTTAAGCTATATGTATAATCATTAACTGTAACATTGTTGTTATTTTATCGATCTACTTTGGTGTCCCGAACGTTTCCTACCCAGATTTCAGCAACTCTGTAAGGTCCATTATCACTGTTATCATGAAAACGACAAATGCTATTTAACCGGATCGAGGACACTTTTGAGCCTGCGCATTGCATGGTTTCCAATATCTTGTACCTCCGGCCACTGTTTCAAGATGAATATAGCAGCAAGAACTATAGTCACAGTCGTTAGTATTCTCACCCTTAAAAAAATGCACATACTGTATAAAAAAATTCAATATGATCCTTTGTCTATTTTTATTAATATAAAATATAGCATTAATCAACAGTTAAATAATAATTACTGAAAATTTGATCTAATTCAATTTACATAAAAAATATAACACATACTGACTACCCACTAGCATTACCTTCATTTTTTTTTTTATAGAACTGATATAATAGTAAAATATTTTTTTTTGAATGTAATTCGAATTAATTCATTGCTTATTTCAATAATCCAAATTTTGTAAAAATTCAAATGAAATAATTATTCAATACCTCGCTTGCAAGCAATTAAGACTTTGTTAAGTCTTAAATCTAGT